ATAGTAGCCCTCCTAGTTTGTGAAACTACACTCTGATATTTTAAATGGGAGGAAATTGCCTAATAACACATTTCTCAGAACATACTCCATTGTTAGGCAATGTATGACTGTAGAACACGTTAATGTGAAACTGGCAGTCTCTCTGGGTTGTGTCTTTTTAGATGTCCTAAAAGCAACAAGGTGCCAAATATACATTTTTAGATTGGTATTTTTCGAATTCTATATCCCAGTTTATGGGTCAAGGTGCACTCAATCCCATCCATATATACACACCAGTGTATGCTTCCATCTCTGATCAAAAAACTACATCAGAAGCCTACAACCACTGCTGTGCTTGAACTTTGCAAACACCACTGTTGAAGGGGCAGAGAAGAACCACTATTCAGGAAAAATACACCAAATCCTGGAGTCACTGGACTGATGGAAGCACCATTTCCTGGATTAAATCACTGAGGCGGCATAAACAACTCCAAAACGAAAGGCAGATTAATTAATACCAAGAATTAGAAAGACAAAAAGGACTACCCTCCCCATGTTGTGCAACGATCCAAAATTGCTCTTTTAAAAATGGCCCTATAGGGCTGGGGCTGGGTTCAGCGGTAGAGCGCTTGCCTGGCATGTGCGAGGCCCTGGGTTCCATCCTCAACACCACAAAAAAAACAAAGGTATTGTGTCCAACTACAACTAAAAAATTTTTAAAAATAAAAAATGGTCCTGTAAGGGCTGGGGTTGTAGCTCAGTGGTAGAGCACTTGCCTAGCATGTGTGAAGCGCTGGGTTCCATCCTCAGCACCACATAAAAATAAATAAAAAATAATAAAGGTATTGTGTCCATCTGCAACAAAAAATAAAATAAAATAAAATGGTCCTATAAGTAACTTGTACCATCGTTGCAAACGCCAGCGTCCCAGTGCTCCAACCTCATGAGGCCTCACCATAAGCCTAGGGAATGTGTGTAGTCGAAAGTTAAAAGCTCACAGAGGCCAACACATTAAACATAAATTTTCAAGGAACTGGGAATTGAGAAAGAAATCTCAATCCCCTTATCTCTCTGAGTGGTGGCACCAGGCACCAACGGTAGAAAGATTATATGGGTCTTCTCAGACTACGGAGGGTCAAAGCTCCCTCCCCAGAATGAGCGACCTTAAGTGCCACGGCAGCGAGGTCCGGAAAAGCGACGTCACTGGCATCCTTGAAGCCGCATCTTTACCGGTATAAGTTATAACCATGAGGTGCCGATATCTAAAGTCACGCCAGTGGGCTACATTTAGATAGTGAACGTTTCCAGAACAAAATAAACAAAAAGTTGAGTTTTCTGTTTTTGTTTTTTTTTAATTTTAAGTTTGCCTGATTTGCTCATGACGCCATTTTCTGCCTGTGACGTCAGGGGGAGGCGCCACACAGCAACGTCACACATAGGTGACGTAGCGGCGCGGGACACAGTTTCGGGGTTTCTCACCAGTTCCGGGTCCCCGCAGGGGGGTCCCGGTTCTCTCCGTTCCTTTAGGTGTGTGTGGGGCGCGAAGCTCAGCTATATCCTACGGTCTCAGCTAAAAAAGCAGCACAGCAGTCAGACCTGCTCCTCTTCCCGCAAAATGGCGGCACCTCAGCTATCTTCCAGAACCTTCCGCAATCTGCGCATGCGCCGGAAAGAGGCGCTGGACCTCTCTCTCTGGTTTCGCGGCAACAGTCCAAAGTGAAGGTTTTCATTGGCTAAAACTCTTAAGTACGGGTGGAGCGAAACGTAAATGTCTCTTAGCAACCATCAAGTTACCACTGATTGGCCAGCTTCTGAGAGACTCAAGGAAAGTGAAATCCCCTTTGGTAGTTGCCTTCACTCTCTCATTGGCTAAGTGACTTGCGGAAGGTGGGGAAACAGGTCCAGAACAAGAGGGAAGGGCCCACCTGTCCCATTCTGGGTACTAGCACAGACTGGGCCAAAGCGGCGGGCGGAGCCAACGAGGAGGGACGGAGGGTGGAAGGATGTCCTTGGCAGTCTCTACTGATTTGCCGGTGTGCGAGTGTCTGTCCTCCCAGAGACTGTTTTGTGGAGAGTAATTGTGCTGTTTTCTCATGGGGGATGTGGGCCTGCACACCCCCTTTTTACCCAACACCTTCTGACTCGGGTACTTGGGACCTGTGAAACGTAGTCGTGCGAGATTTGTCTGCCATGTTCTGCATAGTCCCACACATTCAATTCAAATCATTGCTGCCCCCCCACACACACACACCTCTCACCGCAAGGTAAGTTTGAGACTGTTTCTCAATATATCCTTGGATTCAGTAGTATTTTGCCCTCTGACCAGGAATAACTGAGCCTACTCACACTTTCCAAGGGCTTCGACACACTGGCTGCCTAACAGCTGGTACAATCAGCTGGTTATATTGTGGAGTCAGAGGACCTGATTTGTGATTCAACCCCTTTCAAATCCAGGTACGCTTTACCACTTAGATACATCCTCAGCTCTTTGAGCCAGTCTCTCTTAAATTGCTGAGGCTGGCTCTCAGCTTGGGATTCTCCTGCCTCAACCTCCAGGTCGCTGTGATTACAGGCAGGTGCCAATAAGCTTGGCTAGATTTGATTTGGATATTTAATGTCATTGCATTTATTCTTTCTTCTTCAAAATGGAAAAAAATGGACTAACGATCTCAGGTCTTCAAACTGATTTTATTAAAAAAAAAAAAAGTTATCTTCTTGCTGAAGATTCCTAGAGCTAGGCTTTCAGTGTCTCTTCTCTCAAGAGGTAACAAAAGGAGCTGGCAATGCAGTATCTCAGGAAGGCAGAAGGGCTATATAGCTCCATGTTTTCCCAAGGTGGTGAACTATGCCTCCTCCCCAGAGAAAAACCTAACCCCAGGTCTTAGTGGCAAGAACTCCCTGTATCTAGTCAGAAAGGACTTTATGTAGGAGTCCAAATGTAACCACTTAGCATTTGAGGGTTTTGTTATTTCTTGTGGTGCCAGGGATGGAACTCAGGGCTTCATGTACTCTAGACAAATGCTCCACTGAGCTCCACCCACAGCTCTCACTCAGTTTCTTTAGTGGAGAATAAAGCTAGACCCCTTTGGATCTTAGGATAATGGGACAAATCTGATTATGCCTGCATCTAAGTGAGGTATGGGAAAACAGAGGCTGGGGGCAGGAGGGTAGAGCAGGAAAGGGCCATAACTTCACTTTATTTGTACTTCCTCTTACACAAAACCATCAAAACAGGAATAGAGAAGGCAGGGAAGAGCTGAAAATTTGTCAAATCCACATGTTCTCAGGGCTATTCCACGAAGCTCTTGAAGCTGAATGCTTGTTGATGTAACTTCAGATCCAGCACTACTAATTTCACACACCCTGGTCTGACGTCTTCACAGATTGGTGACTTGGGCTCTGCAATTTTTAATCCCTTGCCCACCTTGATATAAAGTAGGTAAACAAATGGAAATGCTCCTCTGATGGACAAAGAATTCGTAGATGTACTGCACCCACAGATGTACGGCACCTTCTGTGCTATAGGAGAACCCAAAGCTGCTTCCAAGGCTCTAGACTCTTGCACATAGGGCTAGAGGCCAATAGTATATGAGCGACCTGTGGGGTTGTGAATAGCAGAACAGACTGGTGCTGTCACAGCCCACTCATACCACACCTTCTTGGAATTGCTGCATCTCCAGAAACGCACACAGATGGTCTGGCCTTCACGCACCGTAATGGGCTGCTGTAAGAAGAAAGAAAAGAAGGTTCAGGGTAGAGCTAATGAATTTTAAGTGGCAATGTATCAGGGTAGGTGTGGTAAATGACACAGGAAGCCATTCCAATCCTCATAAAACTTATTTGAAATCTATCAGAATACAGAACAATTGAACATTGAATAAACAATTACCGGTGGAGATATTGAATAAATAAATGAGTGGATGAGTGCTGTAAATGTGTACAGGGTGCCAGAAAGCATCTATGAAAGAATGCTACTGGACACAGTGGTATACAATGTACACCTGTAAGGCTCAGAAGGCTGAGACAGGATAGCAAGTTCAAGGCCAGCCTGGGCAATTTAGTGAGACTCTGTCTAAAAATAAAAAGGGAAGGGGACATAGCTCAGCAATAGAGTGCCCCTGGGTTCAATCCCCAGTACTTAAAAAAAAAAAAAAAGGTGGGGGGTGGTGATAACCTAGGAGGCCAGGGAGTTTTATCTGACACTAGAAATATTCAAGTAGATTTGAAAGATGGGTGAAAAGATGAGCAAGGCAAAGAAAAGAGATGTGAAAACCTGAGGCAGGAAAGAAGAAATATTAGAGAAATAAACAACAAAAGGTACATAGGGCTGAGACAGTGGGAGCCAGGGAACAGTAGCTGAAAAGGTAGCCAAAAACTAAATCATACCAACTCTTACAAGCAGTTTCAGATTCTGACCTTTATCCTATAGGGCATGAAAAGGCATTTAAGTGTTTTAAACAGGAGAACAATAAAATCAGATTTGAGTTTTTAAAACATGACTCTTGCTTTAAGGTAGAGAATAAAAGAGAAGCCAGAGTAGATGCGGGAAGGCCAGGTTGAAGGGTACTGCAGATAACCCTACGAGGACCTACGAGGACCAGAACAGCACAACATAGGTCATAGCAAATATCATCCTGAGAAAAGGAAAGAAGCAAACACCAATGGCAGAAATTACTCCTTAACCTAGTCTCCCCCCTCCCCCAATGCCTCCCAGGACAGGGAATTAAACCCAACGAACTCTACCACTGAGTTAATATCCCCAGCCTCCCAGCCTCTTCTTTTTTTTGTTTAAAGATGGTTTCACTAAGATGCTAAGACTGTCTTGAACTTGCAGTCCTCCAGCCTCAACACCCCGAGTTACTAGGATTACAGGTATGCCCTACAAAGTTTTAACAGCAATTCCTACCTTAATGGGGAATAGGATGGGAAACCATGAGAACATCCCAGGAGAGTGAGTCTCTGGACGAATACCTGTACCAACAAAATAAAACAATTGATATGTGCGTGACTATGCCTTTTGCTGAAGTTGAAAAGTGTTTCTTCTATGATCATGGAAACAAGTAATCAAAGATTTCCACTGACTCTGGGGCTTACCATGAATCTAAATGAGACATGTACACAAACTCCCCAGACAGCACACCCTCATACCCTAGTCCCCAGACACTCACTCAGAGTGATGTCCTGATAAAGCACAGTCTCAAAGTAGCCTGCAAACCCATGTAGCACAGTGTTCACTTCCACAGGAAACTCCAAGGTACAGTAACGGTTGTTGTCAATCATAGGATCTGATAGGAAAGATTATGGGGGTGATGAGGAATCAGAAGTCCTGGAAAACTTGGACTAAAGCATAAGACCCAAAAGGGAAACCTAGATAGGGCAGACTTAAGAGAGCAAGTGGAGAAAGCAGGAGGGTGGGTGAGTTACTCCAGCTCTAGTCAGGACAACCATGCAGGAACCTACCTCTGTTGGGATGGCTGAAGGTGAAACAGGGCTGGGGCGCAGATAGCTGGTGAAAGTTGTGCAGCCGTACCACATAAGGCATCTCAAACTGGGCCTGTCCCAAGTGAGAGAGAGAAAGCAAGAGCTGGAGAAGACAAGAGATATCTACTTCCCTGGGGAAAAAGGCTAAAGACCCAGGGACACAGAAAAAGATAAGTTTTACTTCAACCACTTTCCTCCATCCTCAACTTCTCTTTCATCACTTCATCTTCTCCATTGGAAGAAAACAGTACTAAAGAGTATCACTTCCTTCCAGAAGAGAATAGTTTTTTACCTCGGGGTCACGGTCCTTTTCCCGACAGGCTCGGACTTCATTGTACAGCTTGGAGGAGGAGATGGGAGCCAAAAAAGAGGTGTACTCCCCAGGGATGCTCACACCATCATCTGCACAGCAGGAAGGTCAAAGTAGGTAAATGGTATGTATCTACACTAATCAAAGGTTCAAACTTCCCACATCAAAACTCATAGAAGGGTGCCATCGCCAGGAAGACAGCTTGATATTGTTACATTCACAGACTGGCCTATTCCTAACTTCTCTTTTTTTTTTGAAAATAGATTTTTTTTTTGAGAGAGAGAGAGAGAGAAGAGAGAATTTTAATATTTATTTTTAGTTTTTGGTGGACACAACATCTTTGTTTGTATGTGGTGCTGAGGATCGAACCCGGGCCGCACACATGCCAGGTGAGCACGATACCGCTTGAGCCACATCCTCAGCCCTCCTAACTTCTCATCATGAAGGATTCTATTTCTAGGTTAATTCATAGAGTCACAGATTAAAATTGAAGAAACCCAAGATAGTCATGCATTAATAACAAGTTCTGAGATGTACTACTGGGTGATTTCTGTGTGAATGTGATAGAGCGTACTTACACAAACTAAGATGGCTATGAAATCACTAGGTGTCATAATCTTATGAGACTACCTCATCTATGCAATTCTTGTTGATGGAAACATTATGTGATACATGACTATATTCTTAGGTTGTGGTTGTGAACTTCTGGGGGGTCACAAAGTTCCACAAAAATTCCTGATGATGGACTGAGGTAGAATGCTTGTCTCACATGCACGAGGACTTGGATTCAATCCCCAGCACCACAAAAACAACAACAACAACAAAAATTCCTGATGAAATCAAGCCCAATGTACATATTATACCATATCTCAAGGGAGTCCATTGATCTCAGGTAAAGAATCTCTACTCTATAGTCTACTACTCTTATTTTACAAATCTCTCAGAAAGATGACTTTATTTGCTAAGAGCACATAGGCAGTGAGTAGTAGCTTACTCATATGGATCAAATCATGATTTGATCCAAGTCCAACCCACCTCCCCCTAAATTTTGCAATGTTCTCCAGGTTGCTGCCCCACCCACCATCAAACACCTCATACAACCCAATTTGGAGGCACCTTTCAGAAAGTGCTGTGCTCCATCCAGGCACTCAGGTGACAGTTCATTGTCAGCGAAGGAACCCAGAAGTTCACTGACAATGATGTCTGCTTTCTCTGGAGCCACCCATTCCCGCATGTCTGATGAGACTACTGTCACTTGGCTTCCCCATTCTTCAAACTGCCAGTTCTCTAGCCTGAAAGAGATGATGCCGGTGATGATAGTTCTTATGGAAACCTGCCAACAGGAACAAACTTCCCAGCAAGCAGGATGCTACTCACGTCACCACAGCATTTGGGTTCTTCTCCACAGCGTACAACTTTATCCGCCGGTCAGCCTGCTTGGCTGCCCGAAGGGAAGCATTCACCAGGGGACCCCGGCCTGCTCCCAGCACCATTAGAACCCTAAGAAAGGAGAAGAGTCAAGCAGATTTGGCATATAGAGAAAAGGCGCGAAAGTACCTGGAACTGCAGGGAGAACACTCACTGGACATTGGTATCCTTCTCCTCTTCCGGTACTCGGTCTAGCAGACATTTATAGATGGCCTGGGAGAAGAAGAGAAGACCTCATGGCTATAATCCCATCCTCACCGAGGTCATCCAGGCCCTGTGCTTTCCAACCTGGGCCCACACTGTACCTGCTGGTACTGGGAGTATTTGATAGGATCCTTTTCAAATACTTCATATGTCTGAGATTCTAGATTATCCATTAGTGGCTGACAAATGAGAGGAAAAAGACATAGTAAGTTAGCCAGTTTCTGGCAAGTTGATGCACCCAAACATCAAAAACTTCCTACTGTCTCATGAGTTTTAGTAGGATTTGGAGGTATCTAGTATTAAGATATTTTCTACCCCACCACCTGCCTGTCAATGCATCCCAAACCCACCTGGAGTGGGGACTGCAGATAGTCTTCATAGCCCTTGGCAAAGAGTTCATAGGCATTGGGTGGAGGGCGGTTCTGGCTTAAGTATTCCAAGTACTGGAGGTAAGAGCAAAACTCCTTCTCTGAGTGGTGGTTGGTGCCTGTGATGATGAACTGCACCTCCAACTATGAGAGAAGTCAGATCATTAGATACAGCCATGAAACCAAGATTCTGGGATATTGTGGTTTATGGCCAAAGAGCCCTATTATGAAATAAGGACAGACCTACAGTTCTCAAATATCTGCCCTAATACCAACAAAAGAAGCAAAATCATCAATAAAATTACAAAGCCATTTTAAAGTATATTAAGTATCATACTGGCTCAAAGGACCACATGGATCCTTGCTGTGTAACTTCCTAAATGAAAATTTCTGCAAAGTTCTCATGAGGTCTTGCTCCTTTTGAAAAGTTTCTGGGGTTCTTACTGACATTTGTCCTTTTTTTTTCTTAACTGAAATTATTCTCCAGAAACCAGAGAAGAAAATAGCCCCATAGGGGTTGGGGGAGAGGGAAAGCAGCTTACATATATAGTCAAGCTAGACCACCTCTAGAACTGTTTCACCCACCTTGAGGAGCCGGAATATCAACCTCTGGTGCACCTTAGAAAGAACAGGAAATCCCTTCTTGTTGGTCAGGAAAATGCTAGTAGGGAGAATGGCTGCTTTTATGGGCTCCCCAAGCCAACGATCAATCACATGATTAGAGGGCAGGTCAGCCCCAATTTCAAGAGCTACACAAGGGAAGAAAGAGACCTATCAACCACTGCCAGTCAAAAGCCTTTCCTTGCTCCTTTGCACAGGATTTGTTTCCTTTTCACAAGTACAAGGCAGATTGAGGCACAGGGAAAGTAATCAAAATGCTCAGTATACATGATAATGTTGACTTTTATTCTCAGGAGGTCATTCCATCCCAGGACCTTTATGGACTTACCTACTGCAATCCTCTTGCTATAGTCACATAAAGTCCGGAAGTTGTGCCACCTGTCCAGAGTCAAATAGGGAAAAATACTATCAAATGCATATGGCCTACCGATCACCATAGCTCAAGGAGAACTCTTATTAGTTCCACGCTGTACTTCCCCTCATCCTGTACTTTGCCCTGATATAGCAGCAAAGGAGACTTACCACATCCAAGTCTTCTCCTCTCCACTGTACTCTTCTGTGTGTGTAGTTGGTGCATTCTCAATTATATCATCTCTCAGGTCCTCTGGTGCCACTAAGGGTACCCGCATCCAGAACTGCACATGAACAAGTAGCCTTTTAGAACTTTGTTTTGAATTAATCCTGTCCAGAAAGCTTCCCTCAGTTAAAAAGATTCAGATTGCAAATTAATCCCCTTGTAAGCCTTTTCCAATTTATGATTATGTCTGTATCTTGTACATATATTAAAATATTTAGTTGTAGATGGACACAATATCTTTATTTTTGGTTAGTTTTTTTTTTTAATTTGGTGCTGGGGATCAAACCCAATGCCTTTGTGCATGCTAGGCAAGCACTCTACCTCTGTGCCACAACTCCAGCCTGTATCTTGTACATATTCTTTTTTTTTTTTTTAATATTTTTTAGCTGTTGACTTTTATTTATTTATTTTATATGTGGTGCTGAGAATCTAATCCAGTGCCTCACACTTGCTAGGCAAGTGCGCTACCACTGAGCCACAGCCCCCACATCCTTTTTTTTTTAAAGAGAGAGAATTTTAATATTTATTTTTTAGTTATTGGCGGACACAACATCTTTGTTTGTATGTGGTGCTGAGGATCGAACCCGGGCTGCACGCATGCCAGGCGAGTGCGCTACAGCTTGAGCCACATCCCCAGCCCGCCCCCACATTCTTATATGTACAAAAATCTGCCTTGTCTTTTATTTATGGAAATGATTAACTATAGGCTTCTATATTATTTTAAGGACTGGAGATCAAATCTAGGGCCTTGCAAATGCTAGGTAAGCAGCTGACCACTAAGCTACACCCCCTGCCCTATATATTCTTTGATAGGGGTTAGGGAGAGCAACTGACATTTCAAATCTGCCCAGTACACCACTGAACAGCTGGGCACTGGAAGGTACTTAGTACAGCCTGACTGGCATGATATGCAGCAGGAAAAGAGCCCCACAGCCATACCATGGAGGAATGGTGGCCAGTGTGGATGTGGTTGGTCAAAACTCTGGCCAGGTTTGTATTATCTTCCTGATTAAGGGGCAGCAGGAAAGCTGGAAGACCCAGATATGCCCCAAAATTCAGCTCCTGTAACATAGCCTAGAATGGAGATCAAGAGTAAAAGGTTAAGAGATAACAACCAAATAGTTTTTATTGTACTGTATCTGTTGATTTACCTTGATATGCCAGGCTATGGGGTGTGGGATTACTCTTCCTTCCCAGCTTCGTGAGAGACCTACTAATCTTTAGAAAGATTCTGTGGAGAGTTCAAAAGTCTTACCGCCTCTGAGTTCCTGCGGATCTTCTCCACTTTGGAGTCTGGATGAATCCATGGGGAAAGCTTTCCCACAATTAGCGTATTCCAGTCTGCACTCCCCCATCCAAGAAAGACAAAGACTGAATAAGGTTCAGCACTTTTTCAATTTCTAGTTCTTAGCAGAAAACAGAGTAGAGATGAGAGACTTTTGCTATCATAGATATGGGATAGCCTGATGCAGAATAGGGAACTAAGGCTTTTAGCAAGCAGACAAGGAGAAAACAAGAGTTCTCTATATCCCAGGACTAACCAATATATCCAAGTCAGAAAAGGAAGAGTCTGAGGGCCCTGATAAAGCATAAATCGTCACTGCCTCTAATAATTAAAGGACACAGGGGATGGTCCCTACCCCTTCCTGACAGCAGTAGGTCTGATCGTGTCTGGGGGCCAGGCCGATTCTTAGCAGGTTCCTGAGTGAACTCCCTCTTGAAACGCGGGTGGAAGACAGGCATGCAGAGGAAATCAAACCTACAACCACGACAGACCCAGAATCATCATGTAATGTGAGCAGAAGTGCCCAGAGATCCAAGTAACTGGGTTTAGACTATCATGCTTTTGCATAGCCTTTGCAGCGGCCATCATTCACCCCTCTGGGTTGCTGAGTTCAGCCCACCTTGGGGCTGCATTGTGCCTCAACTTTTCCAGAAACACAAGGAAAAGATGAATAAGAAGAAAAGATGGAAATCTACGCAAAGCAGCATTCTTTCTTTCCTGATGTCACTGGCCTTCCAGGACTATCACATTCAGATTTGCCCCAGTACTGGCCATGCCTCCCCACTCAAGATTAACCTCTTCTCTCCCTTACCCCCTAACACTTCCTCCCACTCCCAAACAATAATCTCAACCTCCCTAGATTAACTGTGCGCCCTTTTTGAGTTTCCCCAACAACTCCCCCGACTTTTGGATTCAGTGACCCTCCACCCCATAAGTTTCTTTCCTCGCGTTCCTGGGGTCGAGGATTCTCCCCTCATGTAGTAATGGTTTCTCACGCCCTCATCCCCGATAGAGTCTGCCTTCCTCAGTCCCCGAGTTCGGACCCCGCATTCCACTCGCGGAGGTCCGGCCCTCACCCCTGCTTGGCCACAGCCCCCAATGTGTCAGCTATTTCGGGGACGCAATTCAGGTCCCTCCCGCTGGACACGCGGCTCCCACCAGCACCACCGACCGCCATCGCCGCCATCTTTTCCCTCGCGCTGTCCACGCCGGGATTCCTTGATACTAGTAGCCAATCACAAAGCGGAAAAAGGTCCCCAGGAGGCGGGACGAGTCGCCTTAACAACCAGAGCGTCGTCCACGGCTCCCGAGCAGGAGGCGGAGGGGTTGGGGGACGGCTCCTCCCGCCAATCCGCGGGCTGCACAGTGACGTGCGGTGTGGCTCCCGTAGATCCACCAATCTCAGCTTCTCGTCGGTGACGAGCTCCAGTCTCCCAGAATGCCTCATCTATCCGTAGAACCCCACTATGAGACTACACGTCCCATGAAACCCTGCAGTGTAAGCTTGAAGTGTCATCACTGAGCCTAGCGTGATTGTCTCGGGGCCAGTGGCGCAATGGATAACGCGTCTGACTACGGATCAGAAGATTCCAGGTTCGACTCCTGGCTGGCTCGTTGGGACTGGTACTCCTTTATTGCAACACTTTGCACCCATTCTTTCTCTTTTACCGTTCCTTCATTATCTTCTTGCACTCTGATTTTCATGTCTCAAATTGGTGAGCTCTTCCTAGCACTTCTTTCAAAGGTGTTTCTTGTATCATTACTTAAGTCCATCTGAACACAGAAAACGCGTTTAGTGGCTGGAACAATTAAATTAGAATTGCCCCTTTAATGTGCTTCTTTTTAAAACAGACTGCGGTAAATTAGCCACTAATTCCTAGTGATTCTCTGTCTCGAACAGAAGATGTAAATAAATACCTAAACACACAACACACGCGCACGCATACACACACACACACTTACACTTCAAGATAAAGAAAGGGAATCCATGGCAAAGGATTACAGTGCCCAGGATTTGTGGAACTACCTGGAGGGGACTCGGATTTTTTTCCATATGAATAGCTGCTAGAGACACAGAAAAGGAGGAAAAGAATGAAGCTAGGAAAGACCTAGGGAGGATAATGGAGCACCTCAAGGCAGGGAGCCTCACAGGTGTTGAGGGCCCGTAGTGGGGGTTGCAGAGGAGAATACGTGCTAGAGTCCCTACACAGGAATTGCTGATAGAATTCAGGGGATGGCTAGCGGGGAGCCCAGAGAAAGAAGTCAGGGGGATGCCCAGGTTTCTGCACAGTAACACAGGCGAGAAACTAGAGTAATGTTTTAGGGAGAATCAGGGTTTGGGTTTGGATATGCTGAATTGAACGTCTAGGGGGCGCTGTGTAATACAGAGTTGCATGAACAGTGATCTGAATCAGACAAGATTTGGAAGTCTCCAGAGGAAAAGCAGTTTGAAGCCATAAGAGTGGATGATCATCGTGGCCCCGGAGGCGGGGGTGGACAGAGCCCTGTGAAACACAGAAAGGGTGTGGAAAGGATATGCTTTGAGGATATTTATGTAAGTGCCCCAAGAGGATGAAAGTTAGAAAACCAAATAACTAAATGTACTACAAAGGGGTTGGAGGTGCTTTTGTCCCATTTTAAAATTATTATTATATTGTTGTTACCATATCTTTTTCTGCTCCGGGATTCCATGAAGGATACTATGTTACATTTAGTTGTCATGTCTCCTTAGGCTTCTATTGGCTTTGACAATTTCTCAGCTGTCCCTTGTTTTTGATGATTGATAGTTCTGATGAGTACTGGTGAGGTATATTGTAAGATGCCCCTCTTTCGTAGTTTATTTTATGTTTTTCTCATGATTAGACTAGGGTTGTCTGTTTTTAGGAAGGAAGATCAGAGAGGTAAAATGCCATTTTCGTTACATCATATCAAGAGTACTTGGATAGTAATCACCATGATTTATGACTGTTGATGTTAACTTTTATCACCTGGCAAAAGTAGAGTTTGTCAGCTTTCTCCACTGCAAAGTGGTTCTCTCCTTCCCACTTGCCTAACCCCAACTTTCCATACTGTAGTCTTTGGAAGGAAGTTACTATGTATGTCCCGTATCTAAGGAAAGGGGAGTTATGGTCCTCTCCTTTAGGGTGGAGTGTCTACAGAATATATTTGGAATTCTTTCCTGAAGGTCTTTCCAGTAGGTAGTTGCCCACAGGAAGTGGATGAGTGCTCTATGGACATGTTAACAAGTCAAAAGGAGTTGATGAGGAGGCTTGATGCTTGTTTGCTGCAGTTTTGCCCAACCCAATTCTACATTCATAGAAGACTTATTACATGTTGTTTCTTCTTCAGATGCTAATTATCTGGGTTATGGACCATCTGTGCCTCTGGCAGCTCACTTCTGATGTCAAACTGGTGGTTCTGTTGGTTGTTAGTACCCATTCCTGTGAGAGGAAAAGAAGGAAATCTATGAAACAGTTATGTCAGTTTTTCTACCAGTTAAAATAATTTTCAATAGGCTTTGTCTAAAAAAAGAAAGAAAGAAAGAGCCAGGCTGGGGCTGTAGCTCAGTGGCCTAAAGCACATGTGAGGCATTGGGTTCAATCCTCAGCATTACAAAAAAATAAACAAAATAAAGGCATTCTGCCCATGTACAAAAAAAAAGCTTAAAATGTTTAACTGACAAAGTAAGTTTACATGGGCTGAATTTCATTTGTCTGTGTTGACCTTGTTTTTTCATTCAAAATGACCTCAGCCATGTGACAAGCATCATGCTAAATAGTTCACAGTAATTCCAAACCACATTACTCCCATTCTTTGCTACAGAGCTTTCATAGGCTATTTAAAAAAAAAAAAAAAAAAAAAGTATGTAAGTGTGGGTTTGCCTATCTGAGCTGTAGAGAAGCAAGAAGGGAAAGACTGAAAAAGAAACAGAATCTCTTTTAGGACTTGGCTGCATGTACTAGGCTTTAAGTCAAAGTTGGTGACATTGATCTTATGCTCTGCTTCCGTCTGCTCTGCCCTCCACACTGAACTCTGAAGCATGTGAATTACTGTTGTAGATAGAATGTAGGCCTTTGCTGGGATGAAGATTCACACAGAGGGCAAATGCTTTGGTTACTTTTTCCAGTAGGAGCCAATGACCAACAGGCCAGAGAGCATTAGAGATTTTTTTGGAAGGGAAGGAGTACTTTCTCAGATAATTCTCCCACCAAGCCCGCCAGTATTCCTTGCCTTCACACCCAGTTCTATCTGATCCCCATTTTTTGGTCTTTGTGTAAACACCCCCAATCCATTGTAAAGCCTCTTTTCATCTTTTGTTGTGCTCACCTTCTCCCTCAGTACTTGCCTCTCCACCAGACCCACCTCTGTTCACCTAGCTCACCTCAGTGCCTGTCCAGCCCGCCACACTCTTCAACAACACAATAACAGCAGGTTTGACCCTCCTACTGCTCCAAATTGCTTCTTCACAATCAAAGCTGTCCTCTAGCTACAAAGTGGCAGAGTTACTGAGGCAAAATAATCTGTGCCAATTTGCATTTTCTTCCTTGTCATCTCTATTATATGGTATTTATCTGTCAAAATGAATAGAAAAAGCAGGCACTGTTCTGAACATAGAAAAAGATGGAAAACTACTCAATTTATTTATGAAACCAGAACATTCCTAATATCAAAACCTATCAGAATAGCACCCCAAAAAAGCTATTGGCCAGTCTCACTTATGGATATAAAGTAAAAATCCTAAAATATTTAGAATTAATACAAAATTTAACAGTGTATTAACATAATAATTATATAACACGACCAATTAGGATTTACCCCAGGACTTAACACAGGTTAGGTGTAAAGAAATTTATATAATGGGTCAAAAATAAACAAGGCAAGTAGTGGTGGTGGTGCACATCTGTAATCCAAGCTACTCAGGAGGCTGAAGAGGTAGGAAGATTATGAGTTTGAGGGCAGCCTTACCAACTTAGTGAGACTCTATTTCAAATAAAAAATAAAAAGAGTTTGGGAATGTAATTCAATGATAGTGTGTCCTTTAATCACCAGTACTACCAAAATAAAAAAATTGATCCTTTTTAATAGCCAAAGAATAAAGCATATTAAGTCAGTTTTATTTTCTAAAAACATTCTTTTAAAAAATATATTCTTTAGTTGCCAATGGACTTTTTACTTTATTTCTTTATTTATATGTGGTGTTAAGGATCAAACCCAGGGCCTCACACATGCCAGGCAATCGCTCTACTACTAAGCCACAACCCCAGTCCTATAAACATTCTCAATCGCTCTACTACTAAGCCACAACCCCAGTCCTATAAACATTCTTAGTAGTCTGAATATTTGAATATTCTTCATATATACATATATATCTATATAAACTCAACAACTCAGGTAAAGATGAAATAAGAATGTCTAGTCTCATAACTAAATAATCTTAGTATTCTGAAAGGTTCAATACAATGAAACTGGAAATAGAAAAAAGAAGTTATAAATTTTGGAATGGGAGAAGTAAATTTATCATTGTTTGCAGATGATATGATTGAATGCATAGAAAATCTGTGAGAATCGATTTTTAAGTGATGAGAATAATACAATGCAGAGAAGTCAGGTGATGCAGACAAATGTGAATCTGTAGCCTTCTTATATACCAAGAAACACTTAGAAGACATAATTAATAAAAACATCCAGACTGGGAATGTAGCTCAGTGGTAAAGCATTTGCCCAGCATGTGTAAGCCCCCGGGTTTGATCCCCAGTAATGTAAAATAAATAAATGAAAAGATCCCAGTAACATCTTAGCTAGGGGTATTGCCTGTGGAGTGGATGAGTTTAAAGCCTTGTTCATCCATGTACTAACCAAGTGAATGTAGCCTCTGGCTTCACTTTCCTCATTCATAAAATAGGAATGTAAATAGTAATTCTTATCTCAAAAAAGTTGTTATAAAGATGAAATTATTAATATAGTGAAGTTTTTAGACTCTACTCTGCACATGGTAAACTTTCAATATACGTTAGCTATTGTTACTAGGATTTTCCCTATCCGCAATGATAAAAGTAACATCAAGATGAAATACTTAGTTGTAACTTTCTGAAAAAAATATTAGGAACCTATATAAGCAAAATTACAAAATTTTGCTGAAAGATATAATAGAAGTCTGAAAAACTGGAGAAATAAACCTTATTCTTAGAAAAAAAATGAATCCTATAAAGTTGTCAGTGCTTACTGAAATAATTTCTCACTTTTACAACATTCAATCATGATTTTAATGGAATCTTTTGTTACTTGATAAAAATAATTTTACTGTTCATCTGCAATAAAATCAGACAAGAAAAGCAAAGAAAACTCAAAAAGAGAGAGGGAAATCTCAAATTTTTAGCTCTTTTACCTCAAACACTGTGAAACAAATAATATACAAACAAATAAACAGTTACTGTAGTTGGTAAAAAATAGAATAAAAGAGCCAAATCAATAGCCCAGAAATAGGCTGGTTATATGTATGATTAAATATATGAATTTAATTTGTGATAATAATAACAGCAAACATTAATTAACCTATTATTTTGTGTCAAATTATGTGAAAAACACTTTATATTCACAAGAACCCTGGCAGATAAAAAGTGCTTTTTTTCTATGGATGCAGGAACTAGAGCCTGGAGAATCTTTGATCTTTTTTTCTTTTCTTTAATATTTTTTAGTTGTCAATGGACCTTTATTTTATGTATTTATATGCGGTGCTAAGAACCAAACCCAGTGCCTTGCTCATGCTAGGCAACTGCTCTACCACTGAGCCACAACCCCAGCCCCAGAACCTTTGATCTTAACATTAAAACATCCTCACGGGGCACAGTGGCACACACCTGTAATCCCAGAGCTCAGGAGGATGAGACAGAAGGTTTGCAAGTTCAAAGCCAGCCTCAGCAACTTAATGAGGCCCTAAGCAACTCAGTGAGACCCTGTTTCTAAATAAATACAAAAAAGGGCTGGGGTGTGGCTCAGTAGTAGAGCACTCCTGAGTTCAATCCCCAGTACCCCCCCAAAAATAAAAAATAACATCTATAAATTCCTTTCTAGGATGCTACCATAGACAACCTTCATAAACTAGGACAAAGAATAAGAGAAATCTTTTTTTTTTTCTAAGAGAGAGAATTTTTAATATTTATTTTTTAGTTCTCGGCGGACACAACATCATTGTTGGTATGTGGTGCTGAGGATCGAACCCGGGCGGCACGCATGGCAGGTGAGCGCACTATTGCTTGAGCCACATACCCAGCCCTGGACACAACATCTTTATTTTATTTTTATGTGATGTTAAGGATTGAACCCAGCGCCCCACGCATGCGAGGTGAGCACACTTTTATTCTTTTTTAAAGCATTAAAAAAAGAATAAAATCATGGCACTTGCAGGTAAATGGAGTTGGAGAATATTATATTAAGCGAAGTAAGCCAGTCACAAAAAAACCAAAGGCCGAATGTTTTCTCTGATAAGTGGATGCTTACCTCTATAGTGGGAGGCATGGAAGGAATGGAGGAACTCTGGATAGGACAAAGGGGAGAGAGGGCAAGAGAGGGGTCATGAGGGTAGGAAAACTGGTGGAATAAGATGGACATCATTACCTTGGTACATGTATGATGACACAATGGTGTGGCTCTACTTTGTGTATAAAACCAAAGAAATGAAAAATTGTGCTCCATTTGTGTACCATGAATCGAAATGCATTCTGCTGTCAGGTATAACTAATTAGAACAAATAAATAAATAATTTTTTCAGAAATCAATGTTGTCAAAGAAAATTTAATTATATAGAGAAATGCTCACAATATATCATTAAATCGGTGGTTCACACCTGTAATCCCAGTGACTTAGGAAACTGAAGCAGGAAGATTATAAGTTCAAGGCCAACCTCAACAACTTAGTGAGGGCCTGTCTCAAAAAAAAAAAAAAAATTAAAAAAGACGGGGGATGTAGCTCAGTGTAAAACGCACCTAGGTTCAATTCCGTAGTGCACACACAAACACACAGAAAGCCATTAAATGGCAAAGATTACAAATTGTACGTGCAGAATTACCTCAACTATGGAAAAAATCATCTTTTCTCTCAATTTTCAATATTGAGCATGATAAAATATTACAGACAGCATTTTAAAGTATGTATTACACTTATGCTCTCTTTTTTGATAGTACTAGGCATGAAACCCAGAGCCTCATACATGCTATGCAAATGCGCTCTACCACTGAACTACATCCCAAGTCCTTTTTTTTTGTTGTTTTTCTTTTTTAGTCAAGTTCTTTTTAAAATTTGCTTTTGAGTCAAGGTCTCTCTACTCACTAAGTTGCCCAGGCTGACTTCGAACTTGGGATTTTCCTGCATGAGTGGGTGAGTGGCTAGAATTATAGGCATGCACTATTGTGCTGTTTCTTTCTAGTTTACATCCCTTCTTTCA